TATTAATTTCTATGCAGTAGTTTTTGAGTAATGAATAAATAAAAAATTCTAAAATTTTTTGTACCACACTGTATATACTGTAATTTCAGATTCTGAAAATATGCTGAATATATTAAAGAGTTGAAAAATTCAGTTCAAAGAAAAGAGAAAAGATGTCAAAAAGAGCAAAGTAATAAAAATAGCCAAACCTTCAGAAACTGTTTCTAAAGATGAAAAAGAAAAGAAAACAAGGCTGAAATAAAGGTTCTAATAAAACTATTCCTAAAGAACTTCAATTAAGGATAGATGAAGTTTATTCAAGTAATGTGAATAAAAAAATATTAAGCAAGTTAATACCTGAATTATTAAAATTAATGACATTACATTTTAATTCATCACAAAAGCAATTAAATAATTGGTTAGATACTTTACATTGTCATCAAAGAGAAAGATATTGAAAGATACAAACAAGAAAACTAAATGCAAACAATTGTTGCTTACATACAAATAGTCAATTAAATGAGATAAAATTAATTAATATTTATATTATATTACTTGTATTAATTTTTATTGAATAATAAAGAAAAAAATATAAAGAATCAAAAGTGCACAGTCACTTATTAACAAAAAGTCTAAGAATATTGCAAGATATTGGAAGGAATTGATTGATATAGTTAAAGAATCAAGAGTTCATTTGGTTAAAGAAAGTGAAACTGATTCAGAAAATAATAATAAGAGAAAAATAAACATATATAACTATAGTTGGTATTCTGATAAGATATTTTTTAATAAATGATTTTATGCTGAATAATTAATTTATTACTAATTATTTTATAGTTAAAAGATTTATTGGAAAATTTGGATAAACATTCAAAATTGATTCAACCATTTTAACCAACTTGTAAATGAAACTATAATGAATCTTATTGTTACAATATAATTTGCCAGAAAACATACCAAGTTGGGTTTATAAATTAAAGGATAAAGAGCAAGAAATAGAACAAAATAAAAAAGATAAAAAATCAGTAAAAAAATATAAAAGATAAATAATATCTGATTATAAGGAATTACTTATATATTTAGAGAAAGAGGAGCATCAAACTAGAAAAAGTATACAAATGAAAAATTAAAAAAAAATTACAAGAAGTATAAGAAGTACAAAAATCACAAAAATTATAAAAAAGCATCCCAAAGCAAAGAAAAATTGACATTATAAAATCTTCAAGAGTTATAAGGGCCATGATGAAATCAGCAAAAGAAAAGAATAAAGATTATGAGCAAGAAGATTCAAATGAAAAAATAGAAGTGAAATTTAATAAATAAAGCAATTAAAAATTTTTGAAACATTTATTAAAAGATTTTAGAGTTATATTTTAATTGATTATTTTGTTTTTAAATTTGATGACAAATAATTAATCAAAAAATCTATTTTTAAAATATTTACTAGAAAGTATATATCTATATTGAATATTCTATTTTATTACAAGTGGTTACTAATAATATGTAATAAGAGATTTTTATAAAAATTAATATATACTTTTAAAAAAATTTTCTAATTTTAACTTAAATTTATAAATTTTGATTAATAAATTTCCACCCACTTAATCAACTATAATTTGATAAATCAAATAGACTAGTGAGCTTAATAAAACTTAATAAAAATACTATACTAGTCTAATTGTAAATTTTTAAAAAAATCCAAAATATTAACAAAAAGCTACTGTAATATTATCTTTAATGAATTTTAATTCTAGATTTGTTAATCTTAAGAAAATAAATCAAGCATTTCTTTTATTAAAAAAAATATAAAAACAAAACAATTCTTGCCTTTATTATTTATCTAGATCACGTCTTACAAATGTTTTCACGCATTTGCTCACGCGTCTAAATTATTTACTGAATACATGCTAGTTCATTTGAAAAAAAAACCAATAATTTTCCAATAGGTGACGATACTCAATATCGACAAGAAAAAATATTTTTATTCGAATAAGGATATATAAACTTTTTTGATAATTTTTTTTAAACAATCCAAAAACTAACCTAAACTCATAACCCCTGGTAAATAAATTTTATAACCTTTTTAAAAATTAGTTCAATTTTCCAGTGCCTAATACTTTTTAAATACTTCTATCCCAAAAAATAAAATTAGTTAAATTTTCTAGAATTTTGCCATGCTGCGCCATGTAAATGAAAATTTTTTTAATCGTACCTATATAATGTTAAATAAAAACAAGCGCACAGAAATAATCGTCTATGAATGAAGATAATGATTACATGTAAATATGAAATGATGGTTATAACTACAATTGAAATAAAAAAAAAACAAATTCTTTTTTCAAATTGAATGATATTAAAAATGTCCTCCCTTGATTTTTTTAAAAAAATATAATAATAATAAATCCCTCATGTAAACAAGATTATCCGTTCATCAATATTCTAAAAGTGAAGGCGCATCATTCTTATCCTGGGGCTCGCTTTTTTTCTGATACTTTATCACACAATCACAAATTCGCCGCTGAGATCTGAAGAACTACTGTTATTTTCGTAGTTGTGAATAAACGGTTTTGAAAATTCTGCTGATGGAAACTTATTTACACTTAGAAAATTTTTCTCAGAAAAAGAATTATTACAATTTTCCGAGGAATTGGAATTTTTGCAGTTACACGCACTTGATGGTGATGAAGGACATGAGATCTTGGAGTTTCCGGAACTATGGATTTCCGTCAGACAAGGATTATCTAATTGTGCCTCCTTCAACATTTCCATCATCGTCTCAGTGTCGGGACAGAAACTTTGACAAAGGACCTGATCAAATTGAGCTTCCTTTAATAATTCCTTGAGGGCATCGTTCTCCGGCACAATGTTCTTGTAAGAATAATGCTCATCCATTTGTGCCTCCCTTAGTAATTCTGTTAGAATTTTTGTGGTACTGGAGTCATCGTTGTCCTGACTAGATAGATGAACCCATTCGAGAAATTGACTCTCATAAAGGTCGTTGGACAACATTAATTTAGCTTCTTCTTCTATATCTGTATCATCTTCTTCGGCCGCCAGGTAATCGTTGAATGGAGAGTATGTTGGAGGACTTGACGACAGGGGAGATGAAAGGCTAGCCTTTAGTTGCATGTCACGGATGATCTTTTGAGGTACGGCTAAGGAAACTTGAGATCTTCTTTGCTTATCTTTGCACTCATCAATGGAAGGAGGTGCTTCTGATTCATTGTCTTTCCACTCCGATCCAACGAGAACATCCCATTTGTCGTCTTCGCATTCCGACTTTTTTGTACCACCATTTGTCGTTGAGTTGTACTTCAACGGAACCTGTTTCTTTTCCAACACAAACGAACGCCACACGGTCCAAACTTTCTCTGCAATTCTCCGTTTTCTCCTTTTCATGAATTGACTAACAAGGTAATACTCTGAAGGAAATTCGAGATGATATGAAAGATATTGTTGCGCAGAGTTATCAGTAATCGATACGTCCGTGCCCGTAGGAGCCGATAACAATGCAATAGAATAGTCATTTTTTGGAAAATAATATTCAGTCCATAAGGTTATTACTCGTGCCCCAGTATCAGGTCGTAGGACATCTTTCTTCCATGAATGGTCATTCCATGTATCATGATCGTTGTGATGGATTAAATCATATGGGCGAATTCCTTGGTAATTCGCGTTTCTGAACAATTGCTTATGTTCATCAACCCATGACCATATACTCCTGGTCCTTTCTCTCAGCCGCACAGTCTCTCGTTCAAATTCAGAATTGCACAAAAAGTCACCAAATGGAGAATTTCCGGCAGCAGCTCGGGCAAGACACAGTAGAAGGAAATCATTATATTCGAACGAGTATGTGAATTGTTGCAGGAGGTTGTGAAGACAGGTAAGAAATAGAAGGAATACGGGCGCTAGTACAGGGGGCAAGTGCGGCGGTTCTTTTTGGCAACCAGGCGGAACATCTTTGCTTTTTGCGTGTGATTTGTTGTCGTTATTACGGAGATTGCATGGAAGACTGCCACGTGATCGGAAAGGGTGTCCATAGGAGATCCACTCTTTCTCGACCAACACCTGAAGTCCCTGTCGACGTTTGATGAAATCAGATGTATTTCAGCATGATGCTGATTACTTCCAAACAAAGAAATCCAAGGAAAATGATAAATTTACAAAGATCATACCTTTATGGTTCTATAAAAAGGGTCCATCATTATTTGAGCTAAAGATACTAACTGCGTCGTCCTTTAATAAATCGGAAATAATTCGTAAGAACGCAAGTATAATAATAAGAGTTATTCACAGGCGAATATTCTTACCTATCCCAACCATCCGTGCAATGCTTTAATTTAAGGAGAATGAAAACAAAGGTAAGATTCAAAGAATTACTATTATAAAAGGTTAAAAATAAAATAAAAATAAAAAATAAAGCAATATTATAAATATTTTTGATCATTATAATATGCTATGACACATACCACTAGAACACTTGCATCTTCGTCAACTAATTTTCCTACTACACCATCCTTACCGCCAGCAGCTTTGAGTAGTTCAGCCACATGTCCCAACCATCCAGTTGACTCCAATACCGAATACCAATTTGATGAGGACGCGTTGGTGTTAATTGCACGCAATAAGGCCGCGTGAGAACTTGATATAGCGTGGATGTTGGGGAGCCCAAGAAATTGGAGAGTTGAGTTTGGGGGATAATGTTCTATTTTAAAAGAAATCAAGTTAGAGGAATATTTTCACACAACAACAAGCAAAAGTAATTCAAAAATAGAATACCAATGTTCTCGTAGCCACCACCATGATAGCCATTCGAGAAGGCCGCGGTATAGCTCCTAGCATCCAACACACATAGTTTCATATTACATGGTTCGTATGCTTCTTCGAAATGTCTAGAAGCCACGCAACGGCTGGCACAGTCAACCTCTGACACTGCTTTTCCTGTCAGAACCGATTCAGTCAACATTTGTTGCTCTTCTTGAACGGTGAGCAGAATGTCATGCATCAGCGTCTCATCCTCCACTCCCCTCGATCCTAAGAAACCGGCCATCGGTTGTCCACTCCGCATCAGTATGTTGTGACCCTTTTTCCAGCAGATGGCAGGAAAACGACCACGAAATCGAAAGCGTGCAAGGTTTCGAAAAAAAGCAGAAGTGTTCAGTGAAGTGTCGGAAGAAACGGAGCTGGACGATGAGTCAGAATCAATCGAAGGGCCTTTTTTAAGAATTTGAGAAGGTATGACTAATTCCTGAGGATATGTTGGCGACAAAGAAAAGTCATCGTTGACGGATGCGATACACCTAAAATGGGTACGAAAAAAAAAAAAAAAAATTGTAAATAATAATGAATGACCATCGTGACATCATATTAAATAAATTAACAGTAGAATTACCAAGAGTCTTTATTCATTTGCATCCTTTCGAATTCTTTTTGTATCTTGTAGCCTCTTGTCCAACCTAAACTTCGAGTGCGATTAAATACGGATTCCTCCACGCCTCTTTTTATTACATCATCCTCATCCTCATCCTCGCTGATACACGCACCAAATGAATCATTGAAAAATTTTTCCTCCAGTGTCATCTCCAGTTTTTTTTGCGCATTTTGATCATGTTTTGGAAAATCCATACTTCTTTTCATCACATCAATTTCACCCATGCGAAAGGCGAAGGTATTTTCTAGGCTGCTAGGATGAACGAAACGTCTCATTATAGTAGAAAAATCATGACAGAGAGAATTCGCGGTGGTTCGGACATTTATAAAGTTTCCAGCTATTGCAGCCGGTTTTGGTTTCGAGAATTTAAACAGGTATTTGGATGACGAGAACTTTAAAGACAAGGTAATTTGAGCCTGTGACTCTTCAATCTGACATATGGAAAGGTGTGGAATCTGCGTGGTAGAAATATTTTGCGAATCTGGTGGTAAATGTGGTGATGGTGATGGTGATGGTGATAGTGATGGTGATGCATGACAACCGGAAGAGTTTCTTATGGGTCGATAACAAGTTCGATAGTTGGTAATTATTACTGTAGACTTTATGATTTCCACAGAAAAGAAAGAAAGAAGTTAGTTAAGTCCAAGAGGAATGAAATAAAACAATTGGAATCAGCCTACTTCAGAAGTGGCATCCATCGGATAACAGTACTCGCCAACCTCTTTAAAACCACCGTCAGCTGTAGTCTCGAAGAGTTTTATGGCGCAGGTCCTCGCTATAAATTCTATGGTTTCCCCGGGTAACAGGGAAAGCCCTGGAGGTATTATTAGTTTTGCACTTTCCAAATCAAATCCCATTTTGAAACTAGGTGTGTAAGCAAGATTTTGATGAATTCGATTTAATCTGTGAAATAAAGCATTGATGGAATGATGGAAATTTTATATAAAAATCAATCTTACTCCATATCGAATCGATGACGTAAGCACTATAAATAAAGCGAAGAATAATTAATCTAAGTTAAATAAATTCAAGTGTCACTTTATTCGATCCCACGTAGTCACACGCGTTAAGTAATGGTGGATCTACCTTGCTTGTTGTCTGCGAAAAGTGTCATATGATCGCTGGAAGGACAGATGTTACGGTCTGGTCTGAAGGAAAGAAACGACCACGATATTAAAGAAACTTCCCAGGTGTGTTCAGAAAACAAAAGTTTTCCTTCGGAATTTTTTTTTTTTTTTTTTTTTTTTTTTTTCCTTAATTTTTTCTTTCCCGTTAAAGAAACAATATGGGAGGAAGGGAAGGAGGTGCAGGAAACATGAGCAAGTTTTTATATTGACGGGGATCGATGTTTGTGCAACTGACATCAAAAAATCAACAACCAAGTGTCACATTTTTCTGCATAAAATGGCTTGACAATATGGAAATCATCTGGAATATCCGATAGAAATATTGGATTGGTTAAATTATGGCAGCGGATAGAACAATGACTTATCGAGAATGCCTAGATTTAGTAGTCACAAAAAACTTTAAAAAAAAAAAAATTTTTTTCTTGTTTTTTACGAGTTTAACCCGAAAAAATGGGATAACAAATACGTGTCAATTTCCAATCGAATCATTTGACCACATTTTTTTTTTTTATCACAGCACAAGTTTCTTGTGATAATATATATACGATTTAAGTCTACAGGGCTTCTGCAGATCTCTTGTGAAATGGTAATACTAAATTGACAAAATAATTAAAGATTCTTGGACAATGAGAAGGAAGGTTGCTCAAAGATCAAAAAAAAAAAAAAAACCATCAATCATCGTAATTAATAACCAAATGTCTACCCGAGCAAATTATATTATGCGAGATTTTCTTTTTTTTCCGATAACTTCCTAATTGATCGGCTAAGTAATTTTTTTTTTTTAAAAAAAAAAAATTAGATGTACAACATGTACGACCTTGAGGTTTTTTTTTCAGTTCTTTAATGCCTCATCACAATTACACGAACCAAAGAATTCAAATTCTTTCTCGGAATCGGAGTGGCGTCTTCCTAGTGGACATTTTAACAATATAATTAATTATTCACACTAAGTAAACATAACCCTATACCCCCCAAAGAATTTTTCCTTTTGACATCATTTTAAGAATACAACGTACCATTCACACATCATTTTCCTTAAATTACTCATTAACCATTATTGTACTTAAATTACATAAAAGTAGAGGACAAAGTTCTTAAAAATCCGCCAACGGTCATTAAACCTCTAATGTATAGCCAAATCTCTAAATCTACTCACTTCTACATTCTCTTCATACACGGAATAGGTTAAAAATACCTGGCATCATGGTAACGCCGAACGCTGCTAATATATAATTAGCGATAGAATATTAAATGATGTGCTCAATGACTAATGAAGAAATAACGTTATAGCTTATGTATCCCAGCGGTTTTAACAAATAAGGTGTAAAAAGAGCCGTGCGGTGACAATGAAATCAGTATTCCAAATGCGCACACTGCCAATAGAAACATCCGTGTGCTTTATGTGATTCAATAGTCATGTGGTGGATTTTTTTTTACTTATTAGACGCGAAACTTTAAAACGTGACACTTTTGGCGCATAAATTCTAATATTGTTGTTTAGTAGAAGGGTGAAAATCACGCGGGAGTAATGGTTCCTTGGAATCAATACACACTGGTCTTTTAATCTTTATGAAAACGTGGGTAGGATCGTGAATGTTGTATGGATATGCTTCACAACTTACACACATTTCGAATTCAGCGCAATGGCCACACTAAAGTTAAATAGCGAATTATCAAGTTAACAGCGAATTACGGAAGACGGAAGACGTAAAGGTTTTCTCACGTACCTTATGTCGAATACCCATGATATTCTTATGACACACGTCGCAAACGGCTTTATGATCAACATCTAACGAAAATTGGATGGATGTTAAAAATGTTTTCTCAAAAAAAAAAAAATAACACAATGTACTTTTCTTCTCCCTCTTCGTATAATGCTTACCGTTTTCATATTGTTCGATTAACCGAAATTTAGGCAGCAAGGCAGTATCCGCGAATCTGTCGTTGTCAATCGGATACTTGATCTTGATAAAAACGTGTGTACGATCGTGATTGGAGCCTTCGCAGTTGACGCATATGTCATAGTTGTCACAATGTCCACACTTAAAATCGACAAATTAAGTCAGCATACAAATAAATGCTATTCACGCAAAAAATTCTTTAACAATGGTAACAAAAAATAAACGCAAACCTTGTATCTAATTCCAACAATAAGTTTATTGCATACATTGCAGTATGCGGGATGCACGCAACTTTCTGAATAAGTTATATATTGATAATAACATATATGTATATATATGTATATATTTCAAAAAAAAATGTTATTACATATTCACAAATCAAAGAATACTCGCCTGCTACTGATGCATCGGTTTGAAATAACAAACAAAGTGTAAGCGATACACTACAAATTTCAATTCCAACGAAAGAGAGCAAATTTTCTACGCACCTTTTTGACCCTTGGTTCTTATGATACGATCTTGTTCAACAATCACATGTTGTAATGCCTTCATATCGAATTTTAATTTATCATGAGATCTGACCGTCTCATCCGATTCTTGACGCATCATCACGCACTTATCCCTTAATCTTTTCACCTCCAACTGTAACGTCTCGATCTCCAATTCATTTTCGACATTTCTACATTGTAATCTTCTATATTCGACGTCCACAATCTCGTGTAGATCTTTCATTTCCGCTTTACTTTGTTTTAAAGAATTAATGCGATCCAACAATCTTTCTATCTCGTATTTCTGATCGTCGACCTCTTTATCAGATTCATTTACTTTGGTTTGTAATCTTCGTAATTCAGACTCGAGCAAATTATTTTTCTTCTCTAGTTCAATTCTACTTCTTGAATATTCGATATTCTGTTGATTGACACTTTCCAAGTCGCTTCGGAATTCTTGAATGGTCTTCTCATATTCTCGAACTTTCAGTTGTAACTTTTCAACTTTTTCCTCGAGTGACTCCTTTTGTGACCTCAATGCGTCGTTTTCTTGTGATGAACTTTCATACTTCAGGATTTGTTGTTGGAGCTGGCTCACCTTTGTTTTTAAAGATTCGGTCAGGCTCCTGAGCCCTTCTCTTTCTATATCTGACTCATAAAATTTTGCTTTCAATTGTTTGATTTCATTTACCACATTTTCACTACTACCACTATTAACATTTGATAGAGGGTCGTTACGTGAGATGTCATTATCACCGCCACTTCCGGTTTGTTCATCGTCGGAGTTTTCCGAGTCCACATGAACCCTCCGTTCTTTCATCGCATGATGTTTGTTACCCTTTCGACCTTTGTTTCTCATCCCCATTTTTTAAAAAAGAGTTTTAAGAAAGGTAATCGAACAATCGGCATTGAATGATATATCAAGCCTAAATGTTGATCTTCACTAAGCTAGGAAAGACGTCGAGATGTCTTACAAAGGAGTTAACGTTTTGTGTAATCACCCTCATGTAAATGATAATATAAATTTATTTTTATTGTCAACAGTGTTGATAGAAATACTGTACATAACGTGTGCAACAGCAATTGTTAAGAATCTTTTGTAACCTCTAATCAATTCATTCATTTGTTCAATCTTAAGGAAACAATCAATATATCACTTGAATTGTTTTCAGCATCAATACAAATTATATACTGTAAGTCATATTTTAACACTTGAATATACAGTACTGTACATGGGTAATTATTTTCAAGTATGGAAAGGAATCCTGAAATTATCAATTAATCATTAATTAATTTACAATGTCCAATATCCAGTATATATACCGTATATAGCTTGAATTTTATAAATATATTAATGATGAACTATTTTTAGATAAATTGAAAAAATATATACAGTATCAAATAATTTCATATGATTTTTCTGATTTGCATAAAATCAAAAAAATCAATATATGCTATTTATACATATTGTAAAAAAAATTTTAATAAAAATATAATACCAATAAAAAATGTATATATTTGTGATATATTTGATCTTATATAATGTCGAGTTTGATAATATGTTGTTATTTAATAAAAAATTTTTTTAAAAAAACTTCAATTAATAATTTAAAAAATAATCATTTATAAAAAAAAATAATAATAAAAGAATTGATTTTTTAAAAAATTTTATTATTTGATCTATATTACAAATATTTTACTAAAATAAAATCAAATTATTAAAACCTGTTTTATAATATATAATATATTACTATTATTAAATCAAATATATTATTTTAGACTTTAAAATGTGCTAAATATATTAAAAAACCAAAAAATTCAATTTTAAAAAAAGAATAAAAATATCAAAAAAGATAAAGTAATCAAAATAATCAAACCTTCAAAAATTGTTTTTAAAGATAAATAAAAAAAAAATCAAAAATCAAAATAAAGATTTTAATAAAAACAATTTCTAAAAAACTTTAACTAAGAGTAAAAAAAATTTTTTCAAATAATATAAATAAAACAAATTAATAATTTTATATTTTAATTTATTACAAAAGCAATTATACAATTAATTAAATATTTTATATTATTATTAAAAAGAAAAATATTAAAAAACATAAATAGAAAAACCAGATACAAATAATTATTACTTATATAAATAACTAATTAAATAAAATAAAATTAATTAATCTTTATATTTATTTTATTTTTTTTTTTATTTTTTTTTTATTCCCGCAATCATTTTGGTGTCGTTTATTTATTTAATTATAAAAAATCATTACAAGTTGAGAACTTATGTAAAGTATAAATTTCCTCGACCCAACTCATCCATCTTTAGTCGAAGCCTCTAGATACGATTTATGAGGGTGATAATATTGTTCCCCTAATGGATGAAATTAAGATTCCAGATTTCCAGCAGGATCAAAACCTGCAAATCACCTCTGCAGTCACGACCATAAACTCAAATTATGTTACTCCCCTTTTATAGTAACTACACAAGGGAAAAAGGAGTCACTCGAGGAAAAAGTTGAAAAGTTACAACTGAAAGTTCGAGAATATGAGAAGAC